CATAATTATCCATCTGATAATTCTATTGCACGACCAACAACAATAATAACGAATGGACATTCACGTTCAATGGATTTTCAGTCAATTAATAATAATAATAGACACGAACTTATTCGACCTATTACTCTTACCAATCCTGGAACTATTTACGAAGCATCATCATCATCTATTGCTACGCTAACATCAGTACGAAGTTCCAATAGTCTTGAATTTGATGATGATACAAAACCATCCGGTGTTCTGGTTGACGATGATTTTCTTCCAATGTCATCACCAGTTGATGATCACTTTTGGGATATGACTATACCAAAACATCATCATAAGTTTAATAATAACAATAATAATAAAAAAGAATGTTTTCCAAATGTTGGTTCATCACCTGATATTGAAATCAAACATTTTGATGTACAACAAATAAATAAATTATCATCATCTATTGATCAAGCATTATCTGAAACATCATGTGATGAAGATGATGATAATAATAATAATACATTATTAAATCAACAAAAATTTTCTATACATGAATATAAATTAAAAGAATTACAAAAACCAATTGTTGTACATCGATCATTATTTAATCCGTCCATTCATTCAACGGAACAAATCAGTCATAATAATGATCTTATTTCATTACCAATTAAAAAACTATGTATGTATTTAAAATAGTCACTAACAACAAAATAATACAAATAATGATTTTTCTTATGTTTTTATTTTTTTTTAGCTCTTGATCATACAAATGATGAATCATTATTAGAAAAGTTTGCTTCAGCAAATAATGAATCAATACAAATTCCCATACGTTCTCCACCTTTTCGTACATCAACAACCAATGATGTTATCTTATCAACACAACAACAACAACAACAACAACAACAACAACATCCTCAAACCATATATGAAGAAGATGATACACAAGAAAGTTCAACAAATGATAATGTATCAGATGAAAGTGCTGATAATGGTGAAATTGATCTTGTACATGAATTTGAATTATCACAAAAACAAGAACTAACAAATAATAATAATTTATGGAGTACAAATGATCGTAATATATTTATCTTACAAGAAGATGATCTTTTATCAGCACTTGTTACAACTCAAACACAATCACAACCAATAAATCGACCATTACCACCATCAATTATGAAAATTACAAATAATAAATCATTTGATAGTATTGATGAACAACAAACAACAGCAACAACAACAATGGCTTCTCTTAAGCCTAAAGTACGTTTTAACCTTGATCCACAATATGAACGAGAACGTGAATGGAATAAAGTCAATAAATTACTTGGAAATAGTGTTGAATGGACTGATGAATTTGAAGTGTAATATATTTGATGTCTTTAGAATTAAATTAACTAAAAAAAAGACATCAGTCAGATTATATGTTTGTTTTTAGAACATATTATATATGTTGTACAGCTTTATCTATTTCTCATTCTCTCCTTTGCCAATTTTTATTTTGCTCTACATAATTAGTTGTTTATTAGAACATTGCCAGATATATAAATGTTTTTTTTTATTTGTTTCAAGAATGATAGAATGTTTGAAATTTTTTGTCCGTTGGTTTAAGTATTGTTTGATCTTTGAGATTAACTAACCAACCAGGTTCAAGACCATAAAATATTTGTCTTGGATCTTTACGTAAACGAAATAGTTGAGATAATTTCGATGGATCTGGTAATTTATAACCATATTTTTGTGCTAAACGTTGACGTTCTTCACGTATTATATCTGGATTTGCTAAATAGCCACGTTGTTTTGGATCTGTATAATATTCGATTGCATTTATTGGTGGTGTATCACAACGTGGAATTGGTTCACCACGTTCAAAAAATTTTTTTGCATCAATTAATGCTGATAAAGATACTGGATCGAAATATCGTGTTGTTATAACCCCACCACATCGTTCAATAGCAGCTATAGCTAATTCACTTGATACCCATTGAATTTCAAGATTAATTGGAGTAGAAAATATATCAGCACCCTAAATGAATAGAAAGAAATAAAATTAATTTCATAGAGAAGAAAAAAAAATTCTAATGTGATAATCAAGCTTTTATATTAAAATAACTCTTCATATGTAAGTATTATTAGATATAATGAAAGAGATTGCTATTTGAATAAGTCTAAGTGTTGATGAATTTACACAGTTATTAATAATCTAATCATACAATGAAATAGACTTTTAATCAAGGTTTATCATCGAAGACGAGTATTCAGGGTTGTTCGCTAGGATTGAAGAGACGTGGATGTGTGCGTGTTTTTTGAGAGTGGTGAGACAAAAAAAGGATGGAAAAAACGTACGAATTTTTCAAGTTTGGGAAAAATCGTTGCTGTCAGTATGAGTATCAAAAGAACATGTTTTTCAAGTAGTCTCTTTTTTTAATGAATGTATAACCAATATTTTGTTCACATTCTCCCTTGCAGAGGGACAATGCAGAGCTCCGGAACAGTGAACACATAATATATGCTAGAATAGCTCCGAATAGAGGTGATATCTATTCAAGATATTTTTGGAATCGAACCGATTCCATTACTGGTGCCGAATTCTTAAAGTGAATTGCCACTGGCTAGATTTAGTGAGAATCATCACTTTCTCAAAAGAATTTTCTTAGTTGTTTTTAGCAAAGAACTAAGCTGATATTATCTCTACTGAACTGAAAAACACGTTTTATGATGATGTTCATCCACCATTTCGACGGAAACACTCCTCCTCCCGCTTCCCGCCTTGAATATTCTAAATCCGCCACTGGGCGTTACTCTTCACGCTGCATAAAACACTATGTGTTATTTTATCTTATTTTTGGTAATATATTTAAAAATAGAATATGAAATATTGTTTAGTTCTTCATTATGTGTTTACTATGAAGATTTTCTAAATTCTAACATATCAAAAACCACATGTTAACATACTTTTTTCTCTTATTTCTGAATGAAATATAACAAATCGATTGTATGAATAAAAAGTCTTTTTTTAGATTTCTATCTATTAAATCAAACAAATAGTTGCGTACTTAGTCATGTGAAAATATAATCTTTCTTTTTTCCTTTATTTAACATATTAGAAATAGAGAAGAGAAAATTCAAAAGATTTTTTACTTCATCAGTCAATTGTAAACCAAATTGTCTTTGATCAGGTTGAATAGAAAATAATTTTGTATTACAAAGTACAGGTAAATCAATTGGTTTTTCTGGATTAACTCTACGTAGATCGATTAAACGTTGAAGAGTACATAATGATATTGGTAAATATTGTCTTGCTTCTCTGAACATATATATGAACAAATAAAAACAATTTCAAAAGTAAAAATTCATTAAACATACTCTACACCTTCATAATAAGGTTCTTTTGGTACAGTTAATATCCATGGTAAACGTCCTTCAGCTTGAATTGGATCTATACCATATGGTGGTAATGAATTTCTTGCTATGGGACCTTTTTTACTCATTGCTGCTTTAATTGTATTTTCATCGGGCTAAAAATTTCAATGAGTGAAACAAAGAAACATTTTAGATTAGATAAATAATTCAGTTTCTTTTTTTTTTTTACATGAGCTTTTTTCCATTTTTCTGTTTTTTCCAAAGGCATAGGTAAATTTTTTAAAGTAACTCTTTGCATTTGTCTTAAATATTGAAGACCACGTTCAATAGGCATTTTTGATCTAAAACTATAAACAATTCTGGGGTTTTATTTTATAATAGTTAAGATTTAAATATGACAAATGATCACAAAAACTTTAAAAAACAAACAGAAGAAATTTATTTTCAAAGACAAAAAAAACATTATGCATCATTTGATGATTCTGATGATGGACTAAGCGATAGACGATGTTCATCATCACTTTTTTTTTCATTTTCCGAAACTAAAATAATACTATCACCATCCTCTTTATTATCATCATTCGTTCTTTTAGAATTCGTTTCATCAGTAACTGGTGATGTACGAGCTTTTAATTTCTATAAAAGAAAATTTTTTAATTGATTAATTTAAAATTTAAATTTACTTCTGCAGTATCTAATTGCCATGATGGAATTTTAGGAGTTACTTGTGGAATCGATGGGAATTGAGAACGACTTAAATATAGACCTTTTAACGTTTGAATTTCACGTTTGATTTCTTCTAATGGTGATGAAAATGGTAATCCATTGCTAGTTGATAAATTCGTTGCTGAATGAAATTCATTAGCTGCTTGTTCAAGTTTAATAACACTTGCTTGCATATCTTGTACGGTTTTTTGAAGACTTTTAATTGTTTCATCTAATTCATTGGGTTTTATTGATTGTTTCTGTTGTAGAAAGAATATGAAAAGTTACTTTTTATTTTAATAGAAAATCGTCTTTGTTTTTTATCTTACTGATTGAAACCAACGTTTGATAATTTTTAATGCATATCCAAGAATACCAGCTAAGATTAAATCAGACAAAAATCGGCGAAGAAATGATGGTTGAGGATGAGGAACAATTTCTTTAGGCATTTCTATTAATAATAATGAAATTTGAGACTTAATTCATTCAAAATTAGTATCGGACCTTGTTGTTGTGGTATGATTTTGAATGCATAATCAATTTCATTATCAGTAAGTCCTGGAAACAAATAAACAAGTTTATCAATGATTCGATATATTTTGCAAATGAGTGTTACCCTTCTTTTTTAAAAAATCACGTTTTTTATCTATTGATTCACCAGCAACTTTTGGATTTTTTAAAAAACCAATTGCTGTATCAACCTAAAACATGTCAATTGATCAATTATGATAACGATGGGATTAACTGAACAGTAACTCGCCATTTGAGCGTATAAAGACGTCTCGGTATGACCATTTTACTGAATCTTAAGCTTGAAATCCATCGCAAGGATAAATCTAATGACTCTTGAAATATTCTAAAAGTTTCAGTTGAAAAGAATCTTTTTCTCTAAAAAGAACCAGTAAAATGGTCATAACTTGATTCCTGAGATTCATGAAGACGAACACAATTAGGAGTTTTTTAATTTGACCGCGAGTTCCTTATAGGCTCAATAGGAGCTCAAACAGCGAGTGACAGTTCTGGTAGTTCTCTCTAGGTAAAGATAGCTAATTTTGATTGAAATTTCGATTTTAATTATATAATTATAAATGCGCCGAGTAAGGTTTTCCGTATCCTATATCTTGACTGAGAAATTTTTCTATTAACCATCTCTTGGTCCGAAAATTTTGGATCCGATGAACTCTACCCTGTAGAGTAAAGCGATCTTATACATCTCTAGTTTTAATTAGTTTAAATAGTTTTTCTAATGTATTCAAAATTGCTTCGAACAAAAAACATGGTCTAAGTCTACTTCGAAATCATTCAATATTAACAAAGATTAGTATTATTTGTTCTCAATTATAATTCAACTAAAAGTTTTTTCTTCATAGCAAAATTTCTATGACATAACATTATAAAATAATAGGAAAAATAATTACTACTTGTATTTGTCGAAATTAATGTTCCCCATTAGGAAGAATCAATATTTTGACGGAATTCGTTATCATCGAAGAAATAAAGACAAATAAGTAGATGAGATTACTAAAAGCTACTATCATTGTCAATAAAACATAGCAGTTTCGTTGTAAATCAACTAAAATCTACCGATACAGATTGACATTAGTACATCTTAGATTTTTTTACAACAACCATCGTATTTTAAAAATTTCTTGAAAGATTCTTTAATTACAATTCTGCTATAGGCATGGCAATAACTAAATCTATCTTCAAGTACATTAATTTTTTTTTATAGAGAAAACCCCAAAAATTTAATCTCATTTTCTTTTTCATACCAAATCCGATCGAATGTTACTTGATGTTACTGTTTCATCTGTCATTCTAATTTTTTTTATCTGAAATATTTAAAAAAAAATGAAAATATATTCATCACAAATTTAAATCATCATCTTCATCTTCATCAATATCATCTTCTTTATCATATGAATAATGTATTGTACAACTATCGCTTGATACTTGCGTTCTTGAAAAAAAAAGAAGATTGTTAAAGTAGATTTAATTCTATATGGAAATGTTATCTTACTGTTGCTTTGTATATGGTAAAACAAGATTATTTTTTGCAACAAGTTCATCATCTTTAAGGCGAAGGTTAAATGTTAGATTAGCCGTAACATCGGACTAAAATTGAATTAAAATTAAATAGAAATAATTCTATAGAATTACTTTAGAAAATCCATCATTATTAGCAGCAGATTTTAATTTTCGATTACTTATTTTTTCTTCATGTAAATTAGTTATATTTAATTGTGTATCAATCGAAAATGTTAAACACTAAGAAACAAAAAAAGAAAACTTGATGAAAAAGAAGGTAAAATGTTATAACAAACAGATTTAATTGTATCAACATTTGTCCGTGATCGTTGTTCAATTCTTGCTTCGATTGTTTCCGATTTTGGAAGATTTTTAATACGTATTGTTATGTATGAAATTGAAACAAGACTTTTAAGAAATGAATTTTCTTCGATACAGTCTAATGGTACCACAGCAATAACAATATTCGATTCTATATAATAAAATAAACATTTATTTATTTTTATTTGCAATTATTTCAATATCTTACTGCTCCAATTATGTAATAAACGTGATAAATCTCCTTGTGATGTTCGTAATAATAACCAAGGAAGAGATTCAATAATAATTAAATTTTTTTCATTGGTTATTTTCAAACATTCTTCTATTGTTTTCGTTGAATGAATATCATCAAACATATCAATAACATGTATTCTATAATATAAAATTTGCTTAAGAATTTCAAAATTATAAATTTACTTTGATGTTAATTCACTACGTTTTGCGAATACATGTGACTGAAACCAATTTGTTTCATCATGTTCAGTTAAAAGAATGTCAACCTTTGAAAATCTAAATAAAATTCACTTGCAATTAAATAAAAAAAATAAACAAAAATCTTACTTATCAACAGTTTCGCAGGCATAAGCACAAGCAAATTGAAAACCTAATGATGAATTCGATGAATTTTCGTCTAAGAAAAATAAAAACAGAATATTTACGAAATGATCTGATTAATAATTTACCCATTACTAAAACCAATGATGGTTTTAATTGATTGTTCAAACGAGATGAAAGCATAATTAATTTTTTCCTTTAATACTGTTACAACTTACGAAAAATTCTTAATATTAATTAATGTATATTTCTATTCGATTATACTTTATCCAATAGAACATAATAACGAGTGCCTCCATTTTGATCGTGTAGATTTGTTTCAAGCATTTATTGTTGAATGAACAAGAAGAAAAAAAAAGGTTTAGAAACAACTATTTGTTTACTCTTCTTTTTTTTTTCATATAACTAATCATACATTGTTTGTTTTGCGTGTTTTTTAAATCGACAAAGTGATTATCTGTAATGATTATTTTATTTTTCTTTCTATTTCAGATAAACAACTTTCAAATGACGAATCGAGGAAAATTTTCAAATACTCGACAAACGAATAATAACAATAATACCAATACTAATAATATCAATAACAAGTAGGTTATTACGCGATAAAATGAAATAAATAACGAATTTTTTTTTTTTTTTTTTTTTTTATAAATTTTTAGAGCACAAAATGATGATGATAATTGTTCGGTCATTTGTTATAAGGATTCTGATGTAAGTAAATTATCTCAATATTGTTTTCAATCATAGATTTAATCGATTGTTTTTATTGTTTATTTTTTAGGATGGTCATGTTGGTGTTGTACGTATACGTCAACAACCAGTATGCTCAGCATGTAATTTAATGCGTGGAACATTGTCACTATATTATAAACATGTATTAGAAAATAATCACCGTGAAAATGTTAAAAAATTATGTGATGAAAATCGTTTTGTACCATCGATTTATGATCAAGCTATTCATTTAGCTTTTCATAATAATGTAAGTTTAATAATAGAATATTTAGACAATCGAACATTTTTCGTATTTTTTAAAAATCGTATACAGTTTTAAATTATTCCATTAATTCAGAAAGTTTCTTCTCATTAATCATAAAACAAATCTAATAAAATGCAGATAATATAATATAAATTTATCATAGATTGTTTTTTGTTATTGAGAATGATATTAACAAATATTCATCAACAACGCATGTTGCTTGCCCTTTTCTTTTCCAAAACAAAAGAAAACAAGCTTATATATCTATGCATAGTATACTTGACCTTGACCGAGAAACGAAAACAGACAGATGTACAATCTATTAGACGCGCAAGATTTATAAAAAGAAGATAGTCAACAGATAGATCAAAGAAGATTTCCTACCGCTGTATAAGTACCTAAAACCTTATGTGTACTTGTAAGATATGGATCGAACAGAAATCATCGGTATAATGTACGATATATTGGCAATAGTTTGAGTTTTACATAGTTCCCTATCCTCTGATCGCCATTCTATCGGGAGTATGACAACATGAGTAATTTATTCATAGTGTTTTCTCTTTAGTTCTAATATTAAATTGAATCAAAACTGCTTTATTTTGTTTAGTTTTGTTATCAAAGTGACAAATTTCATTTTCTTTACAAACATACAAATGAAGAACCTGACTTATCATCACAACAACCTGAAACAGAAAAAACTGAAATTAATAATAATCAACAAAAAGCAACCTCAACAAATACACGTAAACGACGAAATTTACAAGTTACACTTGTCTTTCAAGATAAAACTTATTCGAAAATTGGTACAACTACAACTCAAATTCGTGAACAACTTCTTAAAGAGATGATTACTGATCGTGCGAATGATATAGCAGCGTTACCTATGGAAATCTATTATATTAAGAGTAAGCGTCTGTAATAAAGAATATTCTCTTTGCCAAAAACGAATAAGTATCATAGTTGTTTTATATCGAGACATGCTTTTTGTTTTGATACATTCATGAACAATTTCATTGTTCAAATGAAAAGAGACTTACATATTGAGTTTATTCTTCTTTCTTATTATTTTTTCTTCACAACTGTTACAATATATATTCCGTGTGTATATATTTAATTTTATAGAAAAAATTGCGCCTGATAACATTCATCACAATGCTCAAAAGAGCTCTGTTATTTTTACTATGGCCAAAGATCAGTCACAGGTCATGATAAAGAAGCAGCAGCAAGAAGAACCGTTTGAAAACGGTAATATGTCTTCTGCTAAGGATAGCAATGAAGACAACGGTGTGGAACAGAATACTGCTATTACCACACATGAGATATTGAAAACAGAAAAAATTGATGTTGATGAACCACCGTCGTTTGTCGATGACGTTATAAATGTTTGCAAGGTAATTATGCGAAATTTCATTTTCGTTTTAAATTCATATTCGAATTAAGATATATGAGAATAAAAGAATACTTGAAATGTATTATTGAAAGAACATAGTACTTTTTTTTCTATCTTAAATTTTTATATCTCATTTAACTAATATTTAGAAAGAAAAAAAAAAGTTTCTTCTTTTTGCTTTTAGGATGTGTTAAATAATATTGTTATTGATATTTATTCGAAATGTGGTGAATTAAAACGGGAACAACAATTTCTATCTGGTATTGCACGACGAAGTTTTAAGAAAAAGAATACATTCTTCTGTGATATATGCTCAATTTTTTTAACATCAGAAAAATATTGTGTACAAGTAAATATAAAACAAAAAAATATATATATCTATAATAATTGAAATATTTTCTAGCATCTCAATGGATTAGATCATTTAGAACAATTTCGTCATTATCAAACTAGTTTTTTGCCATGGCGTCGAGCTATGCAAGAAGTTTGTTTTGTTGAAATGTTTTTTTTTTTCTTTGTTTTAATAATTTGTTATTTTTAGTCATTAATTAATGGTAAATCAATGAAGGAAATAATGGGTACAAATATTTATGATGATTATAAAGCAACCATGGCACTTTATCTTGCACCAAATAGTCTTGCAAATCGTGGACGTTTTTGTTGTGCTTATTGTGAATTAGTTTTTACAGATCAATGGGCATTAGAAAAAGTAATTTTTTTTTTCTTTTTTTAGTAAAACGAAACAGATAATTTATTTTAGCATTTACATACTATTGAACACAAAGATAAACAAACATCGTCGAATCATAAAGATCTTGTTGTTGTATGAACTTTATGCTTTATTTATAAATTCATCTCTTGTTTTTTTTTTTATTTAGCGTTTTGCTAATGTTGTTATACTTCCTTCTATATTTAAATTTAATGGTATAACACAATTGTCAGAAATTCCTGATGATATTAAAAGTCGTTATCAATGGCGTTGTGCAACACGTGAACAACTTGATGACGATACAACATCATTTTTACGAAATTATCCATTTGATTCATTTGAAGGTGCCACTCGTATTGTAAATGCTAAATCAGCACGAAAATCAAAATCATCTACTAACAAAACTACAACACAAAATCATCGAAATAATAATGTTACAGCAAGAAATCAACAAAAAAAACGTGGTGGATTTAATAACACACGAGGAGGACAATTCCACACACCAGCTGCTCATCGAGGTATAACTTTATTAAAAAAAGAATAAGACTAAATCTGACATCCTAAATCAGTTTTTGGAAATGTTACTGTCTACTTTCTTGTCAATAAGGTTGCACCGCTGTCAACCAATGTATCAGCTGACACCTCAACATGCAATCTATTTTGTTTTATAATATTCATTTTTTAGGAGCTGCTGCTAAAAGATCTTTTCCTGCTACGGGCTCACCAAATAAGCGATTTCGTGCCGATCTTAATAATTCATTTCCAGGTGCAAATCGTGGTCCTGGACCAATGAGAAATTATGAAATGAATCAATATAGTTATGGTCGATCAGCACCATATAATAATGGAAATGATCGTTGGCCATCATCTCGCCGTCCAGTTGTTCAACAACGTGAAGAGTTTTTTGAACGATCAAATTTTGAATTACAATCACTTGCCTCAGATAATAATGGATATTATGGTGGTGGTGCTGGTGGTGGTAGACCAGCACACCTTATGTCTAGAGGAAATAATTATGTTGATGAACAACAATCACGCTTTGATGGCCGTGGGGGAGGATATGATAATCAACAATCAAACTATGATCCAAATTTTATACGTGCTGTTGCAAAGGTTTTTTCATTCACTATTATTTAAATTAATTAAGATGATTTGATAAAGAAACTGTATTATTATTTTTCTTTCATTTTTAGGCTGTTGCTGAATACCATCCACAACCAAATGCACCTCCATTCGGAGGTTCATCTCATCGTTCTCATAATCGAGCTCATACAGGTCCAACAAACGAGTTTATTCATCATGTTGCTAATAATCTTCAACGTTCTCAACATCAACAATCAACAGCACCAATTATGAGTCAATCACATTATCAAAATCAAAATTCATTGGGTGCATTTGGAGTTAATAATAATAGTAATAATACAAATCCATCTTATTTTTTATCTGCTGGCAATCAACAACAAAATCAAATGGGAACAAATGCTCCACCTATACGTTCCTATGCTGATTACCGAGCATCATCTGGTCCGTCGACTGGGAATGCTTCTTCAACAATGTATCCACCATTCACCAATACACAAAATCCAGTAGCTCCACAATCACATACATTCGATGAATATGGGCAAACGTCATTAGGACATAGTTCATCGAATACTTATGGACGATCCGGAGGACCATCATTTGGTAATGAAGAACCACGTTATGGAAATTTTGGACATCACAACCAAATGGAACAATCAGCTCAAGCACCATGGCGAGGATCATCAAGAGGTGGAAATAATAATCGTGGTCGTGGCCATGGTGCAAGTCATTTCCAATCCATGAATAAGCAACCTGGTTCAACATTTTCGTATAGCAGTAGTAATAATAACAATAACAATAATTCATCCATGCGAGGACGAGGTGCCAATCGAAATGTCCGAAATTTCGGTAACCGACGTTAATTAACATTATAAGACTAATCGAAAAAAAAACATATCGATTCTTTTTGTGGATCATTTAAAATTCTATCGTTATTATTGCTATTGACATTCTTGTGCATTTTATTATAGTAAAGTGTTGCTTGTATGTCTGAGAGAGTATGTTTCTTGCAACTTCTTATATTTCTTCAAATAGTTATATCTTTTCTTTTCTTCTCTTTTTTTTTTGAAAATTTTGGCGTTAAATCATAGATAAACAAACTTATTCTACAGAGAAGAAAAAAAAGTAAACGATCTGTTTCAATTTTATAGATTAAAACAATAGGATGACATCACGTCCGTTAACAGCTCAGCGACGTGAGAGTGCTACGGTTCATCCATTTCCAAGTCCATCGATGGTCTCCATCGTTCTTGGTGCACAATGGGGTGATGAAGTAAGTAGAAATAATTAATATTGAAATTTTCTTTATGAATATTTCTTTTTGTCAGGGCAAAGGCAAACTTGTTGATTTATTGGCATCTGAAGCTGATATTGTTTGTCGTTGCCAAGTAAAGCAATTATTTATTAAATAGTTTTTTTTATCTAAATAATAATAATAGGGCGGTAACAATGCTGGTCATAGTGTTGTAGTCGATGGTGTTGAATATGATTTTCATATGTTACCATCAGGTTTTCATCTAGACCGTTGTGTGAACATAGTTGGTAAATAATTAAATAAAGTTATCAAAAAAAAATACATTAATGTGTATATTGTAGGAAATGGTTGTGTAGTAAATTTACCAGAATTAGTAGAAGAAATAAAAAAGAATGAATCACGTGGTATAACCAATTGGTCGGAACGTTTACTTATTTCTGATCGAGCACATTTAGGTATTTCAATCGAAATATAGTTTTTGTACATTCTGTGAAACACAATCTAAAACGAATGTTGAAGAATAGAGATATACATTTAGTAAAAATAGTGTATCTAATGGTATAAATAACTTTGTTGTAACCCTAAAAAAAAACTGAAAAACTAGTTGTTTGAAAATCGTCATGTCATCAAGAAAATTGATAGCTGACAAAATACAACTGTTTGACAAACAAATTCAGTACATTTTCTAAATCTTCAAACTACGATAAATACAATGGCAAAAAATACTTTTGCGCTTCAGCATCGTTCTAAGGGTTAGTACTCTACAACGAGCAATCCATCCATATCCGATCTCTAAATTTTGCCAGAATATTCTCTAGTTTTTCTGACCTTCAAAAAATATTTAATCGACAAAACTAGTATATTTGACATTAGTATCTCGGACTGCATCAAATGACATATAAAACGAAACAAGTTTGAAGAGAAACATTGTCTCAAAATATATTTTTCTTTTTTTAAAACTACTTTTCTGCATCATATTCAATAATTTCTAAGCAAAGAAGTGTTTCGCACTTATATATTTTAATCTGATAAAGATTGCGTTCACGGCTTTGTTCTTTTTAGTTTTTGATTTTCATAAACAAACCGATGGATTAATAGAACGTGGACGTGGTACGAGTAGGTAAGTGATACGGTGTCGATTTGTTTTTATTTTTATAATAAAAATAATGATTGATTAGTCTTGGTACAACTAAAAAAGGCATTGGACCAACATATTCATCTAAAGTATAATAATGTTTCTAGTTAAAATGTTTTAAAATAAAACTTGATTTCAGGTCACACGAAATGGTATTCGTATGATTGATTTAATGGGTGACTTTACAATTTTTGCTGAAAAGTTAATCAGTTATTAAGAAAATCATTTATAATTATATTTGTATTTATAATAGATTACGAAGTCTTTATAATTATTATAAATTAACATTTCCTGATTTGGAAGGTGATATTGAAAAGACAATGGAACAATTTAAACAACTTGCCGAATATTTTCGCCCCATGACAATTGACACTATAGCTTATTTAAATGAAGCTATTATTGATGGTTCGAAAAAAATTCTTGTCGAAGGTGCTAATGCTACAATGCTTGATATTGATTTTGGTACGTTTATGGATTTATGTATAATTTATAGAATGATGTATTTTGTTTTTCAAGGTACATATCCATATGTAACTTCATCGAATTGTAGTATCGGTGGTGTATGCACAGGTCTTGGTTTACCACCAAAATATATTGGAGATATTTATGGTGTTGTTAAAGCTTATACAACACGTGTTGGTGATGGTGTATTTCCAACAGAACTGAAAAATGTAAAAACAAACTATTAAGTAAATTTTTATAAAATGATTTAATTTTTTTTGATAGGAAATTGGTGAACATTTACAAACACGTGGTCGTGAATGGGGTGTTACAACAGGTCGAAAACGTCGTTGTGGTTGGCTTGATCTTGTTTTACTTAAATATACCAATATGATAAATGGTTTTACAGCTTTATGTTTAACTAAACTTGATACACTTGATGAATTACCAGAAATTAAAGTTGCAACAACATATAAACGAAATGGTGTTGAATTACCAAGTTTTCCTGGTAAGAATATTTTGAAAAAAATCTTTGTTTTTTATTTACTCTTTTTAATGTTGAATAGCGTCGGTTGACACGATGCATGATATTGAAGTCGAATATGTTACTTTCCCGGGTTGGCGTGGACGTTCAACATCTGAATGTCGTACATTTAATTCATTACCACATAATGCAAAACTTTATGTACAATTTATTGAACAATATCTTGGTGTTCCTGGTTTGTATTTTAGTATTTTGTTTTTCTGTAAGAAATCTTTTTTGTTTTTGTTTCTAGTGAAATGGATTGGTGTTGGCAAAGATCGTATGGCAATGATACGCGTTTTTTAAGAATCGTGAATATATTCAAGTGATTGAAAAAAAAAACAACGAACGAAATGAATATATACCGATGCTATTAAATTGATAACTTTTCTTTTTTTCAGTTTGTGAATTTCTTTTTTTCACGTATTGACACAAAAAACCAATATATTTTAATATGTTTTTTGTCACACAAGTTGCAGTGATTTTCTTTCTATCCTCAAGACAATATTTCCTTTTTTCCGTGATATCCCATTTGACTCTCTTTTATTTTTTTCGTTTGAGTAGATATAATAATTTTATTTATATTTAATGAATAAATCAAAAACATCTCAATAATAAATATTGACAAATATATATTTTATTATTTAATGTGGGTTTTTTCTTCATTGTTCTTAAAATGGATTCGAAAAACGAATAGATAACAAATTGTTTTTTTTCGCTAATATATCAAATTGGAAAAAGTTTCTGTTGAGTCCGTGTAAGCGGAACGCGTGCACATCTGGCATTTGATTTTCATAATTCATTGGCATTCGGGAGATACAAAATGCAGAAAATGATAAATAATAAATGATAGTTTTCTCATAAAGTCATGCATGATAAGTTTGGATATCGATATGGTTGTCTATGCGGAGATACAAACATCTACACCTTACTTCAGGTTGTAATCCTCCAGGCATTCGGAGAAAAACTAAACAGATAATTCTTACGGGCTAAATCATTAGTGGTTTCTTCATTCCATATTTTGACCTTTCTCGCAGGCTACGATCAAATACAGAAATTTAAGCATGAATTTAAACATATGCATAGAATTCGATAAAAAAACCACTTAGTTGTGATGACAGCAAGACAAGAACTTTTCTGTAAACAAATCTTGCCAGTTATCAATTTTAAACTCTCTGTTTGTTATAACTATTATCCAAGTATTGAGCATGACAATGCTCAGATTTTTCTGTGAACAACTGGATTAATTTTACACAACAAGAGTAGAAAAAAGTATTAGATCATAAACAATGTGTACAACTTTCTTCTAAAAAGATTTTTCGAACGATAAATACCGAATATATGATCTTTTGTTATATTCAAAATCCATCGTATATAAACACCGATGTCTTCACGTCGTTTCTGATTGTATCGAATCAAGCTTAGCTTTTGTTAATAGTGATTTCACACCACAGCCTACAAGTAAACATTCGTTTTGACTTTCCCATGCTAAAAAGAACTGATCTACTGTAACTCAGAGAAGACTATCGTTCTCTAAAAAGATGCTACTGTTGTAAAACTTAATGTATGAACTTACTCTTATTAATGATCAATATCGTCTATATTGATAGCCATTTTTTCTTCAAAACCTGCTATTGGCATAGAACACTCTGTTGTCAAAGCCTCTCTGATTTCATGAGGACCACATAATGATAACATTAAATACAGAGGAAGATAGGACTAAGTTAGATGATCTCTTTTTCATTCTTTTTGATTCTCACAGGAAATTGCAAATGATGGGGTTACAACATTTTTAGTTTGTTTCCGACAATATTCATAATCACCCTCGCATTTGTTTCTTACACCATTCAGCAAACGAAATAAGAGACGAAGAACAACTCTGACTTCTGACTTTCATATCCCGATAGAATCTTTCGATATTGTTTAATCATTGAATTTCATTGTTCACAAAAGCATTTTTATTAAATACTAAAGTGCTAGTTAGACAGACTCTGAACGATACCATTCATCAAAAGAAATAGTAATGCCACAAGGAGAACACGTACATTTGTCTGAAAAAGTGGTATAAGACAAAGCAGCATTTTGAAAACGTAAGATTTACAGTGAACACTTTATTTAAATAATACTTCTTCTAGGTTATGCACTTTTTAAAAGTTTCTTTTATGAACTGTGGAATCAGTTGAACACAGACTTCATCTCCAGGCTTGGTGAATGAAAGATGGTGTAGGCCTCCCTCCGCCACCTCGAATTTCCATAGCTTAGGTAGTTTTGAACTCCAATCTTTCGCATCTTTCGCTGAGAAGGTTTTGTCCCCATCATCGTATAGTACCAATGCTGGTACATTGATTTGACCAAGTTTATCTTCAATTCCATCGCGGTGAAGGAGACAATTGAGTGCTGGATTAAAGCCTTTGGAGCCAGCGTGCCGTTCAATCCACATTTGCTTAATTTCTTCATAAACTTTTTCGTCTACGCGCGTTGGAACATCAAAGGCTGCGGCTCTAGCAAGTAATATTTCTTCTAACGGAATCTCGTACCATTGATCACGGAGCTTTCGAGAATTGGTTTTATTTTGTTCGGTTACTCCGAAGGCTGAAGTTCCAAACAATATAAGTCCTTTGATTCTTTGAGGTTCGAATAAAGTCATGCGAAGTTCCAAGTACATAAAATTGATCAAGACCCAGTTTAGTGAGAAGCTGTAGTGAATCCGAGGCGGTGTTCCAAAAGGTAAAATCTTCTCCGCGACCTGTGGTTCCTCCGTGACCATGTTCGTCAATCGCTATTAGATTATAGATCGAGTACCGAATGTCCTTGAATTGACGGTCGAAGAAGCGTGAATCGATTAGGAAAGCGTGAAACATGACGATAGTTGTTAGCGATTTGTCAATGGGATGAGAAAGACGATAGGCAATAGTGACACCATTGTTGAGTGTCATTTTAAGTAGTTTTTCGTTTGATATGATGTGTAAAAGGAAGTATAAATTCTGAAAGCTGTCTTCAAGTAAATGTTGACGTGGTATTAATGAGAGCATAATTTTTTTGCCTGTGAAAGCCGAACACTAAAAATAGAGGCTTATTCTGTGCACTCTTTTGTATGAATGTTCACGATAGAGTGTACCTTTTAATAAAGTTGCGAGAACGAAAAAGAAGAAAAAAACCTAGAAATGAGTAAAATGGATGCGACCAGTTACAGTGGTATGAAGACTTTTACACTGAAGTTCATTTCTTACGTGGAGAAGAGAGAAATGCCATATATGATATTTTTTCATCTGTTTGTGAAGACTCTTAATAATTACACGCAGTAGTGCCACTTAATAAGTTTCTTTTAATGAATTGCTGTAGTCGGTATAGCTTTCATACCATTGAATTCAACAGAAACATTTGTTTTCATCTCTGTTCTAGATCAGCTAAGAAGCAAGAATGACAGTTTTTGTTGCTTTTTCTAAATCGTACCTATTGTATTTTGAAGTTAGAAAATAGCTCAGATGATCATTCAACAATATCAGCTCTTTTTCATATTAAAACAATCTTTCCCAACTCGTTAGATGCTTAGTGGAGGATGCGAGCAATCAATGCTGAGATGAAGAAAAACTGTTGCTGGAATAGTTTGATTCAAGAATGTTATAAACGATATTTTCAGTAAGAGGATGAAAAGAGAATGGATTGTGATAGTGTCTAATGGAATGATGTCTTTTTTACTCAGAGTTATCATCATAATGCATGCTGAAAACAACAATCAATCACTTGCTTTCTATTCACCCTGGTTTTTTTAGACAGTTAGCTCAAACACCACTAATCAAAACGACATTTTACAATTCTTTTTTTTTATTACGCTCTACAATAGTGTCTCGAGCATTTTCTTCTACGACAGCATCGAACATGTCTCAACACAATCATGTACACCACGTCTTAGTACTGACTTTGTGATGTTTCTTTTTGAAAATTCAAAAAATATTCATGTTTGTCTCGTGTACCTCAACTATTGCATTGTTCTGGCGATATCTTCCTAATATATGACCACGCGATTTCCTAACAACCGTTTCTTTTTTTCTCTTTCTTCCTTTGCCGACACATCGGCGTGAGACGATAAGGCGCAAAAGTAGCCTCGATCGTCCTCTCGCTTCACACACATATATATATCGCTATCGCATACACTTTCTGCATGTTCTCTTACACACACCCAGATGGACTACAATTTCAGCATACAGGTTGAATTGTTTCGATGATCATGATGGTGCCGAAGTATCTCGTCTTATCTTTGTAGCTATCGGTGACAAAGTTGAAGACATTTGATACAGCCATGTTACATAGTGATTTCATATATCCAAAATACTTCTAGATTAAATGTCAGTACTTGAATTTAACGGTGTTAATCAATCATCTTACATGCGTCGCTTTATTCGTGTACAGTACAGTCGAAGACTTTGTTGAATTCGATAATAGTGTTCTTGCCAAATATCCTTAGTTGAAACATAATTGTAAAGAAGTCGAAAAGCAACCAAAAGTTATTGCTTATCTTACGAGTCGACAGAATACACCGTTTTTAATTATTTGATAAACAAATAGAATATTAGAATGATGTCATTTTATATTAAGATAATCTCATGTCTAAAATGTTTGATTACTAATAAACGTTAAAAGTCTGTTTTTTTCTTTATTAAGTGTCGATATGAGATGTTGGCACAAATGAATGATGCCAAAACGTTTCGTTAGATATTAGTTTTTGCATGAAAAAGGTAAGTCCAATGGATCTAATATCATCACAATACATACGACATAGTTAAACGTGTGTTGGTTATGCCCCTCACATCTAAGCTATTATTCATTTGTCTTCTTCCTAAATCAAACAACTTGATTTAGTTGAGTACAAAGCTCTGGGTGTGTGTGCAGGTTTAGAGATTCACATTAACATCCACTCTCACCGTCAACAGAGACGCCTGTACTCATAATCTCATAAAATTTTCCATTCAAAGTAAAAACGTTCATCCAAAATCGAAGATGTTCCTTTGTTTGTAGCTACATCATCCTCGTTCCAAAGCAGGAAACGAACACGAACCTTGAGCGTAGGAAATGCAGTATTGGCTTATGCAGATGTGGAGTGCGTCTGGGTGTGGGTATGTTTTTGGATGCAAAAACGTTCTACACTCACATACATATCACACACGCATACACTTGCACTCATACACATATCCTCGATCAGAAACTATCCGTCTGTAGTGTTTCTTTCTGCTAAAGTATGGTACAAACAATGATGACAGGAATCTTCATCTTCTCTTTAAATCCAAAAACTTTTCATTTTCCGTCTTTCCTTTTCTAGAACTCATATATATTTTCGTAGAAAATAGCGAGTGTAAGTGTTAAGTTCAAATTTTCCGGCTCCCCATCCCATTACAGACATCTTTTCCCCAATTACAGACACTAGCAACCAAGAAATGCAATTCTCTTTTTGAATGCAATACTAGAAAAAAATTAGTGCACAAGATAAAAAGAAACTTTGACTACTCTGACATAAACCAGAGTATTGTCGAAATTTAAATCAATAAAATTCATATCGTAATATTTCTAGTAGTTCAGTTCTTGATTTCGGATAGATAAAAATTTATATTAAAGACGTCAACAATTATGAGAAATGATCAATTGATCAAATTCTTAATTTGAAAAAAAACTCTGTGCCAGTGTTTTAACTTGATCGAGATATATAATAGCTCATTGATACTTATTGTAGGTAAAATGTACATGTGTAAGAGGCATATTTGCCGGTTGAATCAATGATTGCAATGATAATACAATTAAATTAAAAAAAGAACGCGAAAACACAGATAATAAAAATAATGAGCGAAGGGCAACAAAAATAGAGCGCCTGTAAAGAAAGCAAAGAATTCTTTCAAGGCTCAAGAAGAAATTCAATAGATTATACTACTGCCGATCGATGATGTTGGAAAACAACTGTAATAGGGTCCATTTTTTTCACTTTACATATTTTGCATCAGTATAATCAGGCTAAAAAAGCTATGTGAGTTCCACATTTTAGCCCCATCAGGGCTGTGCTAACAAGCTTTCTTAGTTATTATATAGTCTTAAGTGCCCTTCACTCAATAAGAATAGTTCAATTCAATGGCTAGTCAGTTTCATTAAAATAATAAAGAAGATTATCTATGAAGCATTGCTGCACATAATCATACGATAGTAGGCTCCACGTCGTTCCATTAGGTCTACGTGAGTACCACTTTCTATCAGATATCCTTTGTTAAGAACATGTATCCAATCACATGAACGAATTGTCGACAGACGATGAGTAATAATCAGTGAAGTTCGAGTTGAATCGTTCATTTGAGCTTTCTCAAGCGTTTCTTGCACGATCTAAACATAGTAGGGATGACTATTTGATTAACGTGTATCATAAGAAAACGAACCTGTTCATTGTAAGAGTCCATTGCACTTGTTGCTTCGTCTAACAGCAATATTTTTGGTTGACGAAGAAGAACTCGAGCAATGGCAATACGTTGCTTTTCACCACCTGATAACTGACCACCTTTCATACCCACTTTGGTTTCATAGCCCTGTTATCATGACACAAAGAAACAATCAAATATCATATATTATTCTTTACCCACTTGAGGTAACTGCTGAATGAAATCATTAATATTTGCTTTGGTGGCTGCATCGATAATATCTTCTAATAACGTGTTCTCTTTACCATAGGCTATGTTTTCAGCAATAGTTAAATCGAACAAGACAGGCTCTTGACTAACAAGACCAAGACACGAACGTAGCCATTGTATATTCAGTTGTTGAATGTCGACACCATCGAGATACTAGTTTTCGTTATTTGAGTATTTGTACGAACAATCTGATAGCCTTCAGAGAGATACTTACGATTTGACCTTGTAACGGATCGTAAAATCGTTCGAGGAGCTGAATCACAGTCGATTTTCCACAACCAGATGCACCTTAGTAAATAAATTCTACAATCGTTTTACATAAGCAACAACTGACTTCAATGTACCTATCAGGGCTACACGTTGACCTGATTGATAAATGGAGACATTTGTTGCAAGACTAAAGTGAAAATATACAGAAATAAACATACCAGGCTTTATGGTCCATTGAAATTTTTTGAGAATGCAGGATGTCGGCCGAGATGCATATGCAAAATTCACTTGGTCAAATTCAATCTCACCTTTGAAATCACTCTATCATCAATACATGTTAATAATGAGATAAGATTAATCTGTTCAAAACTCAAACTTTTACTAATTGAAACACTCACCAATTGTTGGCCATCTTTGGAGTTATTATCGATGGCTGATACTCTGTCGAACAAATTGAAAATATTTTGAGCTGCTGACAATGAGTCACTCATCTCTCGCATCCTGAATAGGAACATTTGAAGTAAAGAAATTCATTGACACGATTACTCACAAGACTTTGACGAATCGCAGAGATTCAAGGATGAAAATGTAATAGGAAAAGACTCTAGAACAACATGTCAGTAAAATAGATTTCATAATTTTCTATTTACTCACATAGAAATATTGTTCATCTTCAGTTCTTTGTGTTCAACAAGGATGAGCCCCCACCAATATAGAACCGCTAAGATGTATGATACCGTTCCCCAATTGATACCATAAAGTAAGGCATTGATTATTCTAGCATTTCGACGCATCCTATACGAAAACAAAATAAAGAGACTTAAGAACAATAGCATTTGAAAGACTGACTTGAACTCTTGAAGAAGTAAGGAGGAAAGTTGGCGCACGAATTCTGTTTCACTTGTCAAGTGTTTCACCACGCGCATGTTGTGAATAATTTCGACAGCAAGCTTTCAAAAAGAAGATTCAGCATCAATATCTCAGTGTTCATGATATCATAATCAAATTGTTAGGCTTACTGAACTTGCTGATCCAAGAATAAAATCAGAACGCTTTTTTAATTGTGCCTGAAAGCATATTTGCACAGAAGCAACAAAAAACAAGAAGATAATATAGCAGAACACGACTAGTGTTAACTGCCAGCTGTAAAACATTCCGGTAATAACGCAAAATCCGAACATCGCAACTGCCTCACAGACAATCCCTAAACGACTGCCCGTTATCTGCTGCACTGCTAGTGCATCGGATGAGAGACGATTACAAATAGCTCCAGAGCTATTTTCAGGACGATCAAAGAAAGCAATTTCTTGACGCAAAAGATGTTCAAAAGCTTTGGCACGAATACGCTTGGTCAATTTCGAGCCAGATAAACCAAATGCAGTGTACTATTAAGGTAGAAAATACTAAATGTTTTGTAAGATATATTCCTACTTGAATAAAACGAACAATCAAAAGGAAAATACCCATCAACAGGAAGAAAAGGGAGAATTTCAAAACTTGATGACGTTGTTCTTCATAAGAACACGCACCAAATGCCTGTGTACAAACAATTATTGCAGTGATGATCGTGTTTTGTGAGAAAAGAACTTACAGATATTGTATTGGAGAGAAGAACAACACATATTGATTGGCTTGCTCCACTAATGAGGCAGCTCACGCAACCGATCATAATAATAATCCATTCAGGGCTGCTCATACATAAAAGTCTCAGAAAAACAGATCGATGATTTGTAGCCTTTGATGCCTGTTAAAAGTACATTGTACATGTAAAAATCATTTCGATACGAGTATCTTCACTTTCTTTACTTTATTTTTATCGTCAAGTTCACTATCGCCGGAATGGGGAGAGTGTTCAACTAGTTGAAAAAAATGATCTCTTTCGAAGTATTCTCGTGTTAAAAGTATTTTCATACATATTTGTTTTTGATCGCTATCTTCTAGTTGTACGATGTTTGTCGTTTTATCGATATCATTTTCTGTTTTCTCTACGTGTTGAGCTTTCATCATCTCGTGATATCGACTTCTTGCCTGTAACATCAGTGTCTCATGTGTTCCTCGTTCGATGACACGCCCATTATCCAACACATAAATGCAATGCGCATTTTGAATAGCTGTCAGACGGTGAGCAATCACAATAGTTGTTCGACCTATGTGTAACTATGAATGATATGATTGAAGTAAAAACATGCGTGCAAACCTTTGGAAGCTAGATCGAGTGCTTCTTGGACGATCTTTTCATTGGTATTATCAAGAGCACTTGTTGCTTCGTCCAACAAAAGCAAGATCGGCTGTTTGACAAGAGCACGTGCCAAAGCCACACGTTGCTTTTCACCGCCACTCAACTGAACACCACGTTCACCTACGATTGTCTCATATTTCTATAAAAACAGAAAAACATGGTGCATGTCATTAGAAAAGAGCATTATATGCAAACATCGGGCAATTGCATAATAAATTCGTGCGCATTAGCTTGACGTGCGGCTTCTTCGATCTCAGCTCTTGTTGCATTCTCTTTACCAAAGCGAATATTTTCATAGATTGTTGTGCCAAATAGTGTCTGCATTTTAAAAAAACTATAAAATGCAATGATTAGAATGCAAAGCAACAGACATACAGGCTCTTGGTTAACGACACCAATCTTTTGTCTGAGTTGTTTCAAATCGTAATCGGCGATCGATCGGTCATTTATTGAAATGTCGCCTGATAAAGGTTCATAAAAACGTAGCAGAAGTGAAATACATGTACTCTTGCCTATTCATTAAAACAAAATACACTATCAAAACTCGATTTCTTTCGCGAAAAACTTGCCAGAGCCATTTGAGCCGACTAAAGCTGTTGTTTCACCAGCACGAGCAATTAGTGTGAGATTTTTTAGCGCTAAGACACCTGATCGAGCTGGATAGGCAAAGTTGATATTATTAAATTGAATGTCACCATTCATATTGATATCTGCTTGACAAGCAACCGAATCTTGCCATATGTGTGTTTCATTCATAGTTGATGTCTTTCCCTATATGATGCAATTGTGAAAAAGCAAGATTTTATTTTAAACACTAATTTACCTCGTCGATTAATCGGAACACTGGCTCTAGGGCACCTCGAGCTTCTTCCAATGATTGAAAGAAAGGACTAACAAAGGCAACATAACTGATAATTCGTGCCAAAGTAACCACTACCTATTTGAACATCCGAAATTCACTGTTTCTCGAAATTTGATTCGTGAATTGAATAACTCACCATAAAAAGATCACTGAGATTAAATTTATCACTGCCTTCTTGATGCATGAGAAATGAACCAAACGCAAAACCTATTGCATAAATGATGTATCCTATCAGATAGATCCAACCACTGAAAAGACCGAATACGGCACCCTTGCGTACAACGCTCCAATAAGTTGCTTTCAACTTGCTTTCGTATCTATATTCAAATAAAATTCGAATATACCCATCGGTTATGATTGATAGTGTTTGCTTATCTGTAGATATATTTCCTACCGTTCCTGTTCGAATTTTTCACCATTGAGAGAAAGCACAGTACGAAGTGAACTGAACACTTCCTGAACGATTGCTCCTGCTTGTGAGTACATGTCAAATTCTTTTTTTGATTCTTTGACGGTGAGCTTTTAATATTAACATTAGATAAATCAATTATCAACAAGGATATATACCTTTGAAAAAGTATATGAACCAGCAAAAGCGAATGGCACCGTGCATAATATGACAAGGGCCAATTTCCAATTGATGATAATGGCAACACAAGCACAGATAATAGCAGAAAATAATGATCCTAATAAGATTGATAATTCAAAACCAATGCCTTTAGTTATATTATCAATGTTACTAGGAGATACAAGAACCAAATATCATTTCTTCGACAAATATTCACAGAAAATTACTTACTTGAATAGTTTGACACTGAACTGACTAATCGAAGTCATGTCGCAATAGGAAATATTCTAGAAACAATAGAGATAAAGAAACAATCTATATGTATAAAAATCAACTGCGATGGGGCTGTAACGTGCTCAGTTGAATGAATACTCTCCCCCTTGTTGTCTTTTCAATATTTTCATCGATTATGATCGCTGAAACTTGAGCTTTTTTCTAAAAACAAAATTCGCTGTGTAAATCTACTCAAAAGGATATAATCTATTCGAGAAATATCGTATTTTTCTTGGTTCAAACACAAGGAGGAAAAAGCGAGACTTCAGTACATGAAGTACGACTGAAGTATGAGTGAAGTACAATGAAGTACGAGTGAAGTACAAGTGAAGTACTTCAGAAGTACTTGAAGTCTCGCTTTTTCCCCCCCTTGTTCAAACATCATAGAACTGTAAAACATATAAATGAAATTTTCAACTTTTGTTTTTTCGAAGTTTCTCTGGTAGTATTTTGACTATTATGATATTCAACTTTATGTTCCGATGGTCTCAGAACTTGTAGTTTTTTGTGTAAAACGATACATTCTATATAACGTTACTTTTATCGAATTCATTGTATTTGTGAACTGCGAAACCGTCACGAAACTACCTATGACAGTGTAAAAGTTACGGTGCCATAGGTCAAAAAAGTTAAGAAAAACGAAAGCAAACTGAAAATTGCATCTGACAGCTCTATACGATGTTTCTGATGACAATCTAAAACAAAATATACGTTAACACTGCTTTTAGGAGGAGGGTGTAGGTGTGTGTGAGTATGAGTATATATGTGGATGCAAAAAAACCTACGCCCACACCCATATCCACTGAAGCTCCCAAACCTTGCTTTAACACTCACTTCTATTTGGGTGTCACATTATGAGACTTTTTCGAGAATTTCACAGTGCATTTTTTTTTAAAAGTTACAGGTCTCAGCAATGATAATAATCAATGTAAAATATCGAGAATAAAATGAGGAGCCTATTATCCGTTCTATCGCGAATGTGTTATGTAAAAATTAATCTGTTTGACATACCCGTTGCAGTAGTGATTGAAAAAGACGAATACGTATTTGAACAGCCTGGCGTCTGGCGACTGTATCGAAGAGAAAATATTGGGCGACAACGCATACGAACTCGATTGAACCGATGACTACATACATGCAACATGTAAGCCGTTTTTCTGTTTGTAACTCGAAAATTTAGGATCTTTCTGCTTACTTATTAACCATGGCAATCTGCTTGTCACAGCAGCACGAAATGTGATCGGACATGACGACCATAGTGATGCCAAGATGGTATTCTCACTAAGACAGAGCCTGAAATTGATAAACATAGAATAAAAAAGAAGCTGGATTTCATCAAAGTCTTTTCTAACCGTTGGAAGTGTTGAGTTGACATTAGCATTACTGATTAAGACATATGCTTCAGCATTATTAGCATTGAAATAAATTAATGCCAAGGTGGTACCATTAAGTTAGTATTACCTGTAATTCTAATACATGTACTCAACAAAGCTTATTGATGGCAACCTGGACATGCTACCTGTAGCATTTCAGGTGTTATAAATATCACCCGCAACGCTACGGATAGTGCATAAGATGCTAAAGACACCATCTGCAATCATCCAAGTAGCTTTCCACAAATTACATTGAGTACTTGCATAGGAATTTCTAGTAATGCTAAATTAAGGGAACCACTTCGACATTAATGAACTCTAATATCAAAAATGTTGAAGCATTAGTCTGAATAGTTAAGGCCCCCTCAAAAAATGTCAATTTTCGTCAGAAATTTCGAAACTGAGATAAATGTATGGAGAGATAGCCCATCATCTGGTTTTCCAGAAACCATAAAAATTTTTACTCGATGCTCACTTCTTTCAAAGAAATTTTGAAGATTTCTGCCACCCCTATTCGGAAAATCAGCTGTTTTTTAAAAAGTGGAAAATAGTTTTCGTTTTTTTCCAGTTTATACGTTTTTGATCGTGCAACCCAAGTTTCTCTGTCCAAGCTCATTCAATATATTAGAATTTTTTCTTGTTTGAAAGAGCGTGAACAGATACAGAGTCTGATAGATTCCCTTTTTTAAATTAACCTTTTTCGTTCTTGTATATACAAACATTGATGTAAATTGGCGCCCATTTTTAGAAAGTTTTTTGGGTCATTGAACTTGTCATCCATTTTCTCCATTTAAAAAGTAAGAATTAAAAAAAAGAACTCTATCAGTCGCTGCATCTTTTCACGCTCTTTCAAACAAAAAACGATTAGTTATATAGGATGAGCCTGGACAGAGTAAAATGGGTTGCAAAATGAGCTATTTTTGATCCTTGTTTGGTTCATATCTCTGTCAAATATCGTGGTGTCGGGCTGAAACTTTTATCATAGCCTCTCCACTATAGCCCCAACATATCCTGAAAATTTCATGCCATTTGAACGTACCTCGACTGAGATCAGTTTTTGAGGGGGAGGGGGAAGCCTTAATACTAATACTTATTCTAGTGCGATATTTCTAGTAACGACCACTTACGGTTGCGATCGATTATAGTTGAAAGCAGTTTGCTCAGTATTCCATCGATATTCTCTGCTGTTGCTAATAGTATCTGTTGTGTTTTCCTGTGAAGAACATCGACCAATAAATGACTCCAAGGCAAATGCATTCGTAATTTGAGCAAAAACAACAAAACGTGCTGTGAACGCAATGCTGTATAATATGACTGCACCTAACCCGAGTCCTATCATGACAAGATCGAACCAATTAGCAAAACGAAACTATATTAGAGTTAAACAAGCATTTTGTTGTGCGAAATATGTTTGCCCTTAATAGGCTTACCAATTGAAAATATGAAACAGTCATTTCACTTTTACTGTGATCATTATCATCATCCAACTTTTCATATTGTTGATTGTGCTTTTTCAGAGAGAAATATTGACGCCAATAAGACAACTTAACTAGATAAGCCATTGTCGTTAATATCTTTCTAAAATTTATGTCTATCTGACATGTTAGTTACTGACAGTGATGGGACCGGTTCGGTTTGGTTCCACATATCCGGAACCGATTACATCTAAATATACTAGAGGCCCCTGTGAAGGGTTGAACTCAAGGGGAAAAAGCGGGACTCCTGGAGTGCGTACTCCCACTGTACTATCCTGTTCTTCCACTGTACCTCCTCTGTGTTCCCCTGTAATATACTGTACCTCCACTGTGCCCCCCCCCTGTACTTCCACTGTACTCTCCTGTACCTCCACTGCGCTCCCCTGTACTCTTCTGTACCTTCACTGTGCTCCCATGTACCTCCACTGTACTTCCATTGCACTCCCCTGTACCTCCGCTGGGCTCTCCTGTACTTCCGCTGTACTCTCCTGTACGTCCACTGCGCTCCCCTGTACTTCCACTGTACTACCCTGTACTATCCTGTACCTCCACTGTACTTCCACTGTATATCCACTGTACTCCCTGTACTTCCACTGTACTCCCATTGTATTGTGAGAGTACGGAAGTCTTGCCTTTTCCCCTTTGGTTGAACTTTAATATTATCGGAAAAATTTAATATTATAGGAGAAATTGATTTAATTTACATCAGTTCCTGAATGAAAAATATAATATAGATGACTGACATATATATGCATAATGAATGGACATATACG